ATTACTACTCAATTATAACTTAATTGTCTAATCGTTGTTGTAACTATTTGTCGTTATTTAAGTATCTGTTTGTTAAATGAAAATGGTTTCTCGAATCTCTTTTGCAACAAGTCATAGCTGTTAATTTTAATAATCTTCAACGTGCAATTTTAAGTTTTTATTCGTCTGCCTAATAATAATTTGCTCATCAACAACCCATTTGAGTGAATTATCACGATAGAGGAAAAGAAGAAAGGCGCCCAGCCTATCAGAAAAACGAAGGAGAAGAAAAGCGTCATGGACGACGTGCCCGTGGAGGATCTCTTTTACGAACTGCTGCAGGCAGGTGTCATCAGGGAATATCCGATCGTTTTCTTGCGGGACTGGGTCGGCGATTTCTCGTATGGAAATTACGAAGCGCTTCTCGAATCTCGGGATTGCAAGCACCGACTCGGTGAGGTCAAGCAGCTCGTCTTTGAGTACTGCGTGCTGCCTTTGATTTCCAAAGAGACGCATCAGATCGCACCGCTCGTGCGCTCCGTGTGTATCTGCGGATTACCGAGAGCCGGAAAAACTTTCCTCGCCAACGCCATTTGCTCGGAGGTTAATCACCCATGCTCTACTTATGCTAACAATACTGCAAAAATTTACACATAAATGCAGGGTTGGGAAGATACTCGTTATTTGCAGCGAAGTTACAATTACAATTATTTTTTGTTTTAGTAACTATAACTTCGTTCCATTTTTTTCATCTATAATTGTAACTTAACTTAGTTACATTTGTTTGATAACTAGTAAATAATTTAATAGTTACTTTATATATTTCAAACTTGAGTTTCTGACAGACCAGCACGATAATGCGACGTGCGATGCTTGATATCCAATCAGCATACAGTTACTCTGGCTGCATTTGGAAAGCGCGTTTTACGTTATTTACTTTTATCGTTCATTAGATATAAAACAAGGGTAAAATGACGCAGTATAATCGCTGATAGTCTCCTCTCCGAACGCAATCTGTAGGTCTGTTCATTTTCGCTGCACTACTGCACTGGTGTAATAAGTTAGAGTGAAACAAATATATATTTGTCTCACTCTAACTTATTGCATCAGTGCAGCAGTATAGCGAAAAAGAACAGGTCTTGTATTTCTTTCAAAAAAATTATACGACTATTGGACATTTCAGTCGCGCGTCGCCAGTCCTTATTTGTTAACATAACCTGCATTCAGCGTGAAGTGCGCTGTGCAGTTTCAATTATATAAAAAATTCAAGCAATAGATAAAACATCTCAATCTTCGGAGAAGGATTGTAAAATGCCATGGCCAGCATATGCAGAAATATTCGAATTACAGCAAAAATTTGGAAACGAGAATAACTGGGCATTTCTCTGTAAAATTTGCGTTGGCAAAAAAATTATTCATGCGAGTAGAACTTCAACTGCAAATTTAAAAAAACATCTAAGTGTAAGTTTTTACTTATAAAATATCAATATATTTTTTATTGAAAAAATCTAATTTTTTATGTTAAGATTATTTTCAGTATTTTGAGTATTTATTATCCTCATCAAATTCATTCACTTTCTTATAATTGTTATTAATAATCTTAAAGAATAAATGTGAATTGTTTATTTAAATTAATGAATCTAATTTGTAAAAATGATATACAATATGAGGAATATAATAATCAACAAATTACTTTTATATAAAATTGAAGGAATTTACACAATTACGAAATTTAAAATAATTGTAAAAATTATTGTAAATTATTATTATTATTTATAATTGTAAAATATATATAGTACAATTGTAAAAATTATTATTTATAATAATAATTATTATTATTAATAATTATTGTAAAATAGTAACTGAAAAGTAACGATTCGTTACTTTCTAAATAACTATCACTACCAGGTGTCGGTAATTCCTTTCCGGTTTTTTCGCTAAAGAAAACACGTTATTTACAATGGATAGTTAAAATACATTTATTCAAAGTATTGGCCATTTGATTCTATACATTTTGCCCATCTCTCAGGCAATTTATGAATGCCATTCTAAAAGAACTGTTTCTCTTTTGAGCTAAACATTCATCGAGCCATTTTTTAACTTCTTCGAAATCGGCGAAATACTGCTCTGCAAGCGCGTGCCCCATCGATGCGAAAAGGTGGTAGTCGGATGGAGCCAGGTCTGGAGAGTACGGCGGGTGCGATAAAACTTCCCATCCAAGTGATTTCAACACTTCTTTGACTGGTTTTGCTGTATGAGACGGCGCGTTGTCATGCTGCAAAATCACCTTATCATGTCTTTGAGCGTATTGTGGACGTTTTTCGATCAATGCACAGTTCAAATTCATCATTTGTTATTGGTAGCGATCAGTATTAACTGTTTCTCCAGGTTTCAACAGTTCATAATATACGACACCAACCTGGTCCCACCAGACACAGAGCATGGTCTTGCGACCAAAGCGATTTGGCCTTGCAATCGATGGACCACCTTCGCCAGGTGATAACCATGATTTTTTTCGCTTGGGATTTTCGAAATAAATCCATTTTTCATCACCCGTTACTATTCGATGCAGAAATGACTTCCTTTCATACCTTTGAAGCAACATTTCACTGACGATTTTTCGATTTTCCAATTGCCTGTCATTCAATTCATGTGGCACCCATCTTCCATCTTTTGGATCTTTCCCATCGCTTGTAATCGTTCACAATCATTTCACAAATTGCTACTCGGCTCACATTCAACTTTTCTGCCAATTGTTTTTGAGTTTTTGTTGAGTTTGTGTTGGGTCGTGTTGGTTTGTGTTGGATTGTGTTGTGTTTGAGTTTGTGTTGTACCGCGATTCTGTAACTCGTTATTGGAGTTATCGACAGTTTCGTTATTGTTGCGCAGCTTTTCTACGGTATACAAAAGCTGCGCAACGATAACGAAAGTGTCGTTAACTCCAATAACGAGCTACAGAATCGCACCACTGGTATAACATGTTATTTTTTAAAGTTAGTAACTTGTAACTGTAACTAGTTATTTTTTCAATGAAAAAAACTGTAACTGTAACTAGATACTTTTACAAAGTAATTTTCCCAACTCTGTGTAAATGTATAACGCATACATTAAATTGTTATACATTTAAATGTGTAACACCAAGGTTATATTATCAATAGCAGAAAAACAGATTTTTAATCAATTTCCGAAAGAGATTTTTAATGGAATTTTTCCAGGTGGGCGCGTTACTCCTCGACGTATCGCCATCTGTTCTGGTCGACAAATTTACAGATAAGAAGGAGCAAAAGAGGTTCATCAACATGGTTTCCAGAGTTGCTCGCGTGTATGCTCCTTCCGTCATCTTCCTCGATCCCGGCGAGGGACCCTGGCTGAAGAAAGTCCCGCCGGAGAAGCGTCATCTTCAACCGAAACGATTTACGAAGCAGTTCGTGAAATTGATAAAAAGCATCGCTCCAGGCGACCAGGTAAAGCTGCAAAGCTTTTTGCGGGAAGTAGCTCCTTCACCCTTCTCATAATTATTTATTTCCCAGTGTGCAATTTACTCTTTTTCGTTGACATCGCGACATTGCTTCCGAAATTTATATTTTGTTTTCAGCGCTTCCAATCGCAATGTTTTAAAGATCTTCCATTAGATACGGGAAAAGGCTGCATAAAACGGCGAATATTCACTCTGCATCTCTGTATGAAAACTCGCGTAAAATTCCTAAATTGGAGGAGTATGTCGGGACGTACGATCGAGTAGTGCCCGTTTCGTGATACATTTTTTTTATTCTCGTTTGAGATCTCTTTCTTCAGTATGAATGAACCGCCGCCTCGGCGAATTCGCAGACACGCGGCGGGTTCTCTCTCTTTCTCTTTCTCTCGTTCTTTTTTTTATGTCTCGTGGATCTCTCCCAATCGAAGTTGCTAATCAATGAAACACCTCCTACCAGTATGTATAGTGGCGGGAACGTAGGTGGCGGTGAGTTAACGTAGGATTTAGAATGTCAAAGATTCCGGACGGATACTGTTACTCACTGGCGTAGGTATTGCAGAAGGCGGCTTCGATATCCACCTCAAAATTGTATTCTATTGTCGTTTTCTCACGGATCATATTTACATATTCGTGAGAAAAAATTATTAACTGAAGAAGCATCTAGTCTCTACTCAGTACTCTCGTGCATTATTCATCACTATGACGAACTCTTTCGGCAGGTATTGTTCCTTTCGTTGTCCGAGCAACCAGGAAACGCGACACGGTCGTTTTTCAAAGTCCACAACAGATTCATAATGATACCCACCACCGACTACAATACATTGTATATGTATTACAAGGACCTACTGATGAAATATCATGGTATCGATCGCAATATCGATGTGTCCTGTTTGGCTAAGATGTCTATCGGTGTTCCCTTGAGTTTCATCAAGGGAGCCATGGAGAAAGTGCTGTCGCTACAACGACGAATTACCCTCAAACACAATCCGCTCAGCCCGACAGAAATTTTAAACGAAGTACTGATGTATGATCATCCTGCAGAAAAGACGTTAGAGGAGTTCCATAAGGTTGAGAAGCGAGTTCTGCGGCGAAAAATGAAGACCAGAGCCGCAGCCCCCGAATGAGAGCCAACGAGGCGCTCAAAGTCTCAAAGGCGCCCCTCGCAGTGTGTATTGCGAGGGTTTCGCGCAAATTCGCATCATGTATCGTGCAAGCTTTTATCAAATTATTTTATGTCGCGATGCAAATTGAAATTCGGGTCGTACGCAGGAAAGTATACATAACAAGAATACAAAGTAGAGTATTTCTATCAACTTAACTAGTTATTTGGCCATCAAAAGTAGACGTCAGCGGTATTTTATTAAAAACATCTATTTATGAAAAGACAATACCATAGCATTAGAAAGAATACGAGGTAAAATGTTTCTCTCAACTTAACGAGTAATTTTGCTATGAGAAGTAGACGTCAGGAATATTTAACTCAAATATCTACTCGTGAAAAGACGATGTACAACGGCATTATCATCGCCGTAGCGCCAATACGCACCTATAACGTGCAATGTGCATCGGTCTCGAGCGTGTTCCCAACATCTGCACCCTCCCACACCTGACCTCAGCCTCAAAGCGAAGGAGGAACGCAGTAGCACCCACGCCAGTAAAGCGCTCGCGAGTGCATCGTGCGACCCGTCCTGTCTCAACGGAGAACGGTCCTCAAGTTTGGATGTTTCTTGATGTCACATCCCTCCCGCGCAAGAGATTCCTCGAACGCTCCTTGTGTTTTTCACGCTGGGAAAACTTATGACGAGAGCAGGAGAAAGAGAGAGAGAGAGAAGAAAATCGAAACACTTCCGCGGCTTTAATTACACTGGTCACTTGCGCTTTATCCTTCGTAATATCGCCGCATAATTATCACAGACAAGGACCGCGAAAGACAGAGACACGAGATCTCGGGTGATCTTCGCCGGCTGCAACGATGAAATCTCGACACCTCGCGACGAATCAATCGTCGAGATCTATGCTGTCGCACGTGTCATATATGGTAAGTCATTCGATGTTCGTCGACTTCGACGTGCGCGTACGATCACGTGAAAGAAGGTGAAGGAGTAGAAGAAGAGGAAGAACGGACATCGCGTCTTTTCCAAGGTCGACGATGCGCGCCGCAGCTCATCGGAGAGGAATCGCGCGCGCGCGCGCGCGCGGGGTCACACGAACGCCCGGACGGTAGCGAGCCAAACGGGTTGTGATCCGGACATGCGGTTCTGCCGCTGGTGCAGTCCGCAGCAACACGACGGCCAGCAGGCAACAGGTCGGATACGACGTACGTGCTGCGAGACACTATACGAATGCCGAGAGCATGCTCGACGACCACTTGGAAAGACGAGAAAACCGACGTCGCCTCCACCGTGTCCACACGGTGGGGACTCCCCCAGCTTGTGTCCGTCCGTCCGCCTCTCTATGTGTCTCTCAGTTTCCACATAGCATAGCCATGTATGGAACACGGGACGACGTTCTCTCTCCCGGCCCTTACGCCCACTTGCGCCGCGCCGCGCCGCGCCGCGCCGCGCTCGGTACCGGCTCTCCGCCGCATCTGGAGCAGGTATCATCGCGGGTGACAACGACGGCGCGACGACGACGACGAGGACGAGGAAGAGGACGAGCGCGACAACGTCGCCACTTGCCCCTTCGTCATCGGGGATGATTGGGCGGCAGAAAAAGTTACTCTTGTAACGCAACGGATTACAGTGTCTCTTTTCTACAGAATTTCCAACGCACCGGATGTTGTTGCTCAAGCTCTGATACGCCCGTCACACATTCTAATGGCACGTCTAGTTGCTTAAATACTTTGTTGGGATATGGGTCGATTTTGTAAAAAATTCTTGTATTCAATTAATATCGAAAAATATAAATACGCCTTACGTCTCGTGCGTCTCATATCAGTCTTGGCAAAGCGCAACGCATCTTTTCTCCGGCTCCTCTACAACTTCATTTATTTCGTGAGGACTTGTCCGCGCGTAATACAAAAAGTATTACTGAGTGATTCCCGTGCTGTTTTCGTATGCACGAGTACATGAGAGAAGATCGAAAAGTGGGCGAACAGAACGACAGAATAAGAGAGAGAGAGAGAGAGAGAGAGAGAGAGAGAGAGAGAGAGAGAGAGAGAGAGAGAGAGAGAGAGAGAGAGAGAGAGTGAGAGAGCGAGTGAGAGAGAAGGAGAGAGAGAAAGAGAAGCCCACTGAAAGAGGAAAAAGAAGAAGGAAAGAACATGGGTGGGTGGGGTGGTAGAGAGGGGGGGCTGCGAAGGTCTTCGGGATCCTCGTGAAATGCTTTTTGATACTGGAAATCGGTCCGTCGCACGTTACGAAATCACGTAAAACCGGGCCTTTACGCCCACGCGAGATTAATGTAGCCGCAGTGAACGAAAGTCCGACTTCTTTAACAAACTCTCCAAGTGTTTATAACGCGCCACGCTAAAAAACAGCGCAATGCGTCTAGAAAAATAGCGGGAGAGTGAACATCGCGCGAAACTCTTGACAATTTCGAAATCAGAGAGACTCGGATAGTCTCAACTTCGGCACGCCGTTTGTAACGAGATGAACGTTTTTGTCATAGCGGAAAGACAAGGCGCGGCGATATCGCACAAATGACAGTCTGATCGAGAATTTCATTGTATATAAATGTAAGCGGAAAAAGAGCAATTTATATGATGCTTACACGAGGAATGCATTTACGTCGGAAAGTCGGAGCGCATCTTGCCGATGAGAATTTTCATTCGTTATTATCGTCCGGTAAATCGTAAGTAGAAACCAATTCTCATCTGTAATTCCGCTTATATATCATCCGTTCGATAAACAGGAACAACGAATCGTTCGCAATTAATTAGAATTTAAAAAATGTTAATCGGATATGGAAGGTATACATACGAGGCAGATTCTCTAAACTAAAAATAATAACATATGTGGAACTTGAAACACGCTATATGCATATTAACGAAGAATAGTTCACAATTAAGAGATTCATAAGAAAATATATATTTAATCTTACAACTAAAAGAGTACTTTATTATATAATTTAAGGATAATATAAAAATATAAAAAACAATTATAATTGTGCACTAAATGTCAATCTCCTAAGAGATTGCGCGACAAGGCAAATAATAGCACGATCATTTACAGAATATCGATAATATTAACAATTTACTTATCCTAACTCGTATAATCCGAGTAACGTTTTTACAAAATGTCGATACAACTCACAATCATCTAGTCAATCAACAAGTTGGTGAAATCTCTTCCATTATATCGATATAATTTCTCACGTCATTCATATACCGACTTAGAAACTTGTAATCCTTTTTCACATTTTTAATCAAGTTTTTAACGTCCGTTTCTCTGTAAAGAGAAAAAGAATAACCCGTTAAATTTTCACTTATACGACGCAATTTCTTCGAGCGAACTTACTTTATTGTACCCAGTAAACAACGAATGTTAACATCACTTGGAGTAAGCTTGTCGAAACGTTTCACATTGATCGTGATCTTCAATATAATATCCATACGTTTGCTTCGAGACACGAACGAAATTCTGAAATATACGAATGATATGACAATGTAATTCGAATATAGTAGCAATATTAAATATACCACAGAACATAACTAAAAAGTGTTATTACTCATCGCAAGCAATCTCCATCAAGTTCAAGCTGTCCAAGCGTTTCAAGTCAAACATGAAATTCATCGCTAGTTTCACATCTTGCGAAACAAAGTCTAGCATCGGAAGAACGTCCTCGTGAGTTCTGTATGAGCACGTAAATGTTTCCATGTTGATTTTCTCCAAAATTAAACTATGAACTATCTTTATTAGCACATCTGCATCATCTATCGTGAAAAAGATATCGTTGGAATTTTTTAGGATTCTGAAATTTACCGTTTACCTGATTAATATCCTTATATTCACCTGCGAGTCGAGAGATAATCTTGATCTCTTTAATCGCATTCTCTTCGGAATAATTCAGGTCCGATAAGAATGTTACTATCAACAATGAATTCGACATGAAGCCGAACGCGATCATTTTCTTGTCGACATTTTTGTAATACACGTTCCAGATGTAGTCTTTCCTGTAAGAAGATATCGAAAATATATTTTTATTATTTCTTTAATATAGTTATAATAAATCGTGTAATATCTGATATAGAACATCTTGTAATCATATAAAAATATACTTACCTCTCTGCATACGATTCTAATTTTTGTAGTAACGACAAAAATGGATCTGGTTCGATTGAAGGTTCTTTCTCAATTCCATCAACGCATTGCTCCGTGTCGTGTCTTTCTTCTACATCTTCTTTTTGCTCCATACCTTGTGGATTCACTTTATCATTTAAATTCTCTTGGCAATACTCATCTCGATTCACTCGATCTTTAACTGTAGCTTCTGTTTCTTTCAAATGATCATTACAATGTTCTGCTTGCTCTTCTATCTTGGAACATCCTGCTCTTCTATCTTGTTTTTCCTGTTCAATATTTTGTAATTCTACTTCATCGTTTATCTTCTCTCGGGTGTATTCATTTTCATCCATCTCGAAAGTACCCATTTCTTGATATTTTCTCGTTACTTTTGTTTCTGTAAAATAATCAGTGTTGGATAGTATTATCGTCTTTCTACGACTAATGTCACTTATCGATGGCACATTTTCTTCATTGAGATGCTCTACATTTGTTGTACGACGATTCGATTCATCGGCTCGATTATCATTGATAATTATTCTTTCAACTGCTTGGCAATGAATGCCCTGATTATTTTCAATTGTATTCGTCACGGTGCTTCTGTGGTAATTTTCCGTTTCATTGTGTCTAATGTACATCGATTCTAATTTCTCGGAGTTATAATTCTCATTATTAGTTGATACAGCATCGGTGATGTTTAATCTACAAAGTTTATCTTCCCGTAAAACTTCAAGAGAAGAGTTCTCTTCCTCACTGCTCATGTAGACAAACGACGGTGGATTGATCGACTGCAATTCTACGAGACTGTTTTCTAGATTCTTTCTCAAAAAGCTGCATTCGTCCATTTTGTTCAAATCATCATTGACATTGGACCCGCATGATAGAACTGAGATTCGTGCAGGATCGATGGTCTCTCCCGTTAGATATTCATTGTTAACGTATCTGTCGTCAGCCACGAAAGATAAATGCGCGTTGCGACAAACAGGGAGTTGAGACTCCATGAGAGAATCGCTACGAAACTTTTTCGCACTTGTATTTTCATCTTCATGAGTTGATCTTCTCTTGCTAGCATTTGTCAAAGTTGCGCTTAACGAGTGATCGAAATCATTCATTAGAACAATATTAGATGATGCATTGTACAACTTTGCTGTATCTATAGTTTCTCCTGGAATTGTAACATCTTCCCTTATTTCTATCTGCCTAATTCCTGTCATGTTATTTGCTATTGGCTGTTGGGATTCATTGTTTTTAGAAATATTCAAATTTTTCATTCCATTTAGCGTGTTTTCTGTATGATGTATAGTAGATGGAACTACAGTAGTAATTTCCATCGATACATTATGTATTGTTTTATCATTATTTGCAGCTGAACCAATTTGAAATGACGATCCTGCGAAATTTTCTTCGGGCAAATGTGTTTGTGACGTACGAGAAATCAATGCTTCCGTGAATTCCGGAATATTCTCAATATTACACGTTGTTTTCTCATGTAACAAAAGATTCGAAATAGCTTTGGTAGTGGTATCTGTCAAGATTGTTTTTACCGAACGATCGGAATTATTTGTTAAGATACTAGTATTGGATAATGCATCGTGTAACTTTGTCGTCTCCAAAGTTTTTCTTAGAACTGGAATATTCTCTTTTGTTTCGACCTTCCTAAATTCTGTTAAGTTATTTGCTGTTGGCTGTTGAGATCCATTATTTTTAGAAATATCCAAATTTCTCATTTTATTTAATGTAGTATTTTCGATATGACGTATAGTAAACGGAACTGCAACAGTAATTTCCATTGATATATTATGAAGCGTTTCATTATTATCTACAGCTGGGCCAATTTGGGGTGATGATCTTATGGAATTTTCTTCGGGTGAATGTGTTGTTGACGTAGTGTTAGTAGTATAAGAGAGCAATGCTTCTGTAACAATATTCTTAATATTACTTATTTTCTCGTGCGACAAAGAACCTGAAACAGTTTCGGTAATTTCCATTGACTTGCACAATAATTTGGTTCTTCCACCAAAAGTAATAGAGCTATTCATATTGCTTTTCCGACATATATTTTTTTCATGAATAACTAGATTGGAGATCTCTTCTCTATCTCTTGATGATACCATCTTAGTCATTTCCATTGACGTATTATGCAAGAATGTATTTTGGTTATTTCTGAACACTGGTTCGTCTATTTTCAAATTCTCTTGGTTGTAAGAACTCGAAGGTAACATGCCATTGACGGGTCCTGTCATTTGCATCGGTGCATCGCTGAAGAATTCTGTTTCATCAGAATTAATTTTCTGATTCCTTTGTAAATTTTCTCTTGTATCTTCATTATTGAGATGCAGGAGGTTTCTTTCGTACATATATACAGGCTGCGTCATTTCCATTGGTACACCGGTCTCAGTTTCATTAATATTTTCAGTAATCTCGTTACTTATTCTGAAATTATCTTCTATAACTATATTTCTGTTGCGAGAATTTGTAGTATTTTTTTCGTATATTTTAGATGGTAAAATAATGGTCATTTCCATCGAAGTATTAAAATTTACATCGTTTTCATTGCTGTTCTTATCAAATGTCTCAGTATCTATCATGTGTGAATGTACTACACTTGTGAGTTCCATGGAATCGTCTGGCATAAAACGCGAGTTAGAACAATCAACATTTTGAAGTTTACATTCAGAAACAATACTCTTAGGTGATTCTAAATTTGTTGGAAGCATCATGCTATTATGTGCAACATCATGCCTTCTATCTTTGCAATTCTGCACTATTACCGGAACATTCTTGAGAACTTCCACATTAGATTTGATAGACTTCGTAGATATTAGAATAGCCTCAGTAATTTCCATTGAGTCATTATTGCAATCAGAGTTTAATGATTCTGCAGTATGCTTTATATTACACATTCTCTTGTGACATGAAGGAACCAAGGCAGCTTCGGTAATGTCCATAGATTTACATAATAATTTAGTTTTATCAATATAGGTAATTGAATTATTTATATCTCTTCTCCCATATATATTTTCTTGTTCCTTTGAAGTTAGATTGAAAGTTTTTGCTTTGTTTCTCCGTGATACTTTAGTCATTTCCATAGTATTACTATTTGTATCAAAATTATCCTGATGTAATCCAATATTATCTTTTTGTGTATCCTTTTGCTTATCATCTTCTACATCACAATATACTGGTACTGAAGATGTAGGTATCATCGTAGTAAATTCCATAGACATATCTTGGATACATGTTCTATCCAATTCAGAATTAACTTGACTGATATGCATCTCAGAGTAATATTCATTGCTGATACCACTTACACAATTCTCTTTATCTCTGTCTGTACACACAGTATTACTTGATGTAGGTTTAGATCCATCTAGCATCATTTGCACAAAAGGAAGTTTTTGACTAAATAATTCCTCATGTTCCACTGGAGTAGTAAAATTCATATCATCTTTGTCATTTTCATACACTTCTATAGCAGAAGCACATGGTTGGTTATCTGTTAGATTAAAGCTGTTTGTATAATCTACATTAGTCTCATTATCAATATTTATACACTTATCTTCAGAAGAAACTTTTATATTTTGATCTGTTCCAAAGGATCCTTTAAGGCTAAAATCATGTTCTTCATATGTGTTGTCCCATACAGTTCCTTGCTCCGTAGAATGACAAAATTCTCTACACAAAATATATCTAATAAAATACTTCTAATACTAAAGTGACATAAGATAACTTCAAGACAATAACTTATACAAAAAACATTCCAAAAGCCTAGTTTCTATACTTTAACATGTAGATATCATAAGATATTTACTTGACATGTTTCTTTTCTGCAAAACTAACACGTCTTTTAATCTTTGATGTGGTTGGACTATTTTCACTAGATGAGGAATTCAGGTTCACATTCTGCAGTGGCTGTCTTGGTTTGTGTGGCTTAAGAATCTGCAAAAGTATCCAATATCATTAATTTTCAAAGTTGCATATTAACAGAAATAAAAAGCTTCTCATTCTCAAAAGATGTATTAGAGATTAGCCATAAAATAATATAAATAACTTAAAATTATTACTAGAGTTATTACTAAAAGTTATTATTAGAATATTATTATTAGAGTTAAAATTATTATTAGAGTTAAAGTTATTATTAGAGATAAACCATAAAATAACATAACATAAAGTTATGATGTTATTTATGTCATTACGTATTGCAGTTATTAGTTTATGTTATTTATATTACTTTATGGCTTATCTCTAATATATCTTTTGAAAATACTTTAAGTACTTACCGATAAACGTCTGGATTCGTCTTTTTTAGGTTTAGCAGGAATCCTATGACATGAATAAAAACATTAATCTTTCCATGTAGAAATAAAAGTCCTTTCTTTGCATTATTTTAACTTTATGTATGTGCAAGAAATAACAGAAAAATACTCAATACCTACATTTTATTATACTATACAGAGAAAAATCGTTATAACCGTTTCAAACCGTGCATCCCACAATATGGCTGTGTTCCAATATTCACTGCCAGCACTGAAAATCTATAATATATGTGACATAAACTATGTATTTTCAATACTGGCAGTGAATTTTGGAACACAGCCCATATTTATTCCTTTTAAAGCCAGCGGCATACAGTGCTTGTTTTCGTGCTGGATTGCTTGCTGGATGAAAATACTGCATTTTGATTGGTACATTTCCGAAGATGGATGGAAATGCACCAATCAGAACGCAGTATTTTCATCCAGCAAGCAATCCAGCACGAAAACAAGCACCGTGTACCGCTGACTTTAGTTCCTCATACGCATGGAGGTAGGAATATTTGGTGGAAGCATATTTCTCTGGTGATGAAGCCTAAGGGGAAAGGGGAGTGTAAGTCTATTGTAACGTATATGAACTACCAAGATGGCGATAGCAATGACGGTGATTACATAGAATATCTATTGCAACGTCTTGAAAATACAACTTTCACATGAATAAAAATAATAAATTGAATTTGATGCATTGTGAGAAAAAGTAATTTCAGAGAATAAAAATATAATCAATTTACGTATGGTTTATTACGAAATGTACAAAACGTATGACAAAATAAAAATTGCATTATAAATATAATATAATTATAAAAGTAAATTATAATTTTATAATATAGTTATAATTATAGATTATAACGCATGTCTTACTTTTTATTAACATAAAAGAAATATAAATGTAAACGCAAAAACTACCAGTAACACAATACAATGTTATAATTTTCTACTCAAGATGCAACTGTTACGTAGGATGCACATTATGATATTGTATAATTAGAAATTAGAACATGAGTGTAATGTTACTGTTAGTTATTGTTTACTAGAATTATTGTCCCTTAAACAAAACTATTTTGTTAAATGCTTGCCTTATACTTATGTTATCACGAAGTATATTACGCCCTATAAAATGTAATCTTATTTTAATATATTTAGAGGCGATTGTTCTCATTATATGAAACACATGATTTTCTAAAATTGTTTGATCACGAGAATGTTCTTCTATATTTGAGAAAATATTTCTATTTTCAATGAGACGTTGCAAAACCTGATTCAAGAGATAAATTTCTGTAAATTTTTTTTATAAACATTTATCGCCACTTTCACGCAAAGCTAAACGAATTGCAATTTCAGCTTTAGTACAATTACATCGTGTGAAGGCAATCTTAAGCCCCCACGATTTTTAATATTAATTAAAGAACATTCGATATGTGTTTCGTTGCCAGTAAGAGCTTCGATACAAGTTTCACAATGTAGAATTTTTTCTAAATATCTTACAACAAAACCTGCAATATAAGCTATAACTCTCGTTGTAAATTCTGAAAGCGTTATTGTATCAAGCAAAAGAGGTAAATTTTCGTTGCTATCTTCATGATTGCTATCTTCATCTATTACTCGAGATTTCGGAGTTGACTGATTTATTATAGTTGCAGAATTCGCAGAAACATGTAGTATTGAAATTATTTCTAGCGGGATGCAATTACCAGTTGCTGTCTCTGTGATCTCTGTATGGACAAGAATTTTTTTATAAGCGGCTTTAAATTGCCGAGCCGTCGGGTTATTGTTAGAACCTCCATGAGTTCGTATAGAGCTAAATAACAATTCAACGTGATCTTGGTTAAATTTATAACCTGGTATATATTTTAATACGTCTTGACTAACAACTAAATCTTTATAAAGTATTGTTATACTTTTGATACATATCATAAAACCGAGGAATGCACATTTATTTTTAGAATAAATCAACAATTGACCATCTGTCTTTCGCAATTGTGATAGGAAATTATAGCCTTCTTTTAATTTTTCCAAAATTATAGAACTATTGTTTTTATTTAACAGTTGTTTGAACCCTATCTGTTTCATGTTCCTCGAATTTAAGATATCAAAAAGATCATTTATTATTCGTATGAATCTTATCGTTGGGACCGAATTTGCAAATTCTGGATATCATAAATCATTTTTACAAATTTCTAATGCATCAGCTACAGAATTACTGAAGATTTGCACTGCGAGTTTTACTTTCATTTTTTGTTTATGGTATTGTATATGACGCGTTCTTAATTTATTACCCAAGTGTAGACTTTCCTTAACTTGAATGTCATTAAGCTTCGTAAAATATTCCCATTGGATCATATCACCATTGTCATCAATTATTGATTTATGTTCTCCAATACAATTACGTAACAGTTTCACACAATGGCATGGGTCGAAAAATACAATAACTTTTCTGTCCATTATCGGATGAGAGAAATAAGTCTGAAAAGATGTAAAGTTAAAATTACATCCTAAAAGTGTGCACATGGTTAAATTAGCTGGAGCCCGTCAAAAGTTACAGATACTATATTTATTTCGTGCTCATGCAATAGTATTAATGCCTGACGAACCATATTGAACTTTTGCTCTGCATTCAGACCAGAAATAAAGAAATATCCAATGGGAATTTTCCAGGATCCATTAATACAATTTACAAAAAAACACTAGTGCTTCTTTTGCTATTATACCGTATTCACAATCAATATTAGGTCCCAAGTCTATATATCCATAATGTTTTTCACCATCATATTCTACATGTTGTCTTACAGCCATTTCATCGAATATAAGAGCGCCAAAAAGAGGATAATTTACTAAATTAACACGTTTCTTAATTGACTTCAATGCTTCCTCGTTAAAACCAGGTTCACCGTGAACCGACTTGTACCATTTACTTATTGTTTTTGGATGGGGCAAACAAGTATCAAATTTTTTTCGAACAAATGCATACGCTCGTGGCGAATAAAAGTGCAACGTTAAAGCAAACGATCTTAATTCTGGCCTATACTTTTTAAGCGTTGGAGTTTTATTAGTCTTATTAACTTGACGTTTTAATAATTGTTTGTTGAAATTACCTAAATCTGTTAAGACATCCAGCTGTTCTGCATTAAGATTTTTTTTTTCAAACATGTCAATACATCTTTCAATTTTGCAACACACTTAATGGTTCGTCGTTGTTTTTGTTGTAACATTTTAATTTTTTTCTGAAATTCTTTTCTCGTATACATCAACGCAGTTCTCAACGATAGTTTCCGTGGCGTATTTTCTGATAGATATAGCGAAACAATTATTCCTTGATTTTTAACTCTTGAAGTACGTGGTATACTCGTCTGGGAAACTGTATCAAATACAACGTTGATGAAAAAAATATAACTAAACGAAAAAAATTTTCATAAACATTCTTTTATTAGGAAAAAAAAAGTAACTACATATCTTGAGTAGAAATGCTAAATTTTCATTCTATTATTCAATCTATAGTAACTAGTAACAAAACTATTAAAAATCACTGGCCAATTTATTATTAATATAAAATTTTTGTAATAGTCCGCTATCACTTAACAGTGTTTCTACAAAATGATTTGTTTTATCTATTGCAATTGATAAATATACCTTGTTCAATGTTGTCATATATTTCCATGGAATCAAGATTTTCTGCTTCTTTGATTCTGCATGTTTCAGGATCATCTATATAATCTATATAATTGTCATTAAAAAAATCATTATATTTCACTATATTTTATAAGAAATTATTAATAAGATTATTCATAACTCCACATCACTAAACAGTTACAATAAGATGATCACTAAATAGTATATTTTTTATAATAAAATAATTATGTTTTAACATACTTTTTTCTGCATTGTGATATATTTTTTGTATTTTTACAAGATCAAGATTCTGTTGCTCTTTCATTAAATTATAATTATGCTCGTCCAATATTTTTTTTCACAGGAGACTCATCATTTCTCATATTCATATTATTCTATAATACATATTTTGTTAATACATATTGTCTTACAAAATATAAAATACTTGAAACTGATAATTCTATGTCTATACATACAAATGGAACAGCACCAGATCTAATTCTAATACAACTAAGTGATGTTTTGTCCATATCACTTTCTTCAAAATGTAATGAGCAAATAAATGCATTTTCTGGAACATTACTGTCATTTAAGTCCATTCTATCAAGCCACTTTTTACGTACTTGTGGTTTCTTTGGAATTCTGTAATTATCAGATTACTTTAAAAAATGTCAACAATGATATAAAATATAATTTTACTTTGAATAATCAATAGTATTAAAACATACCTGTGAAATGTAATTAGTTTGCCATGTGAATATTCCCATCTCAATTGTGTTTTATTTTTTCGTGTTATATGTCTTCTGCTCTTGCAGTCTTTTGCATAACAATCAGGCATATTGCATGAATTATTATGTAAATTTATTATTACAAAGCACTTTATTACAGATATAAACAACTTTATTGCAAGCACTTTTATTACAAAATACGTGCAACACACACAACCTCAAAATTCTTTGGTTATAATTACACCGTATGACGTGAAAATAGATTTGAGTTACATATATCGTATCTTATATATATATGTTATTTTTGAACCACCAAGATGGCCGCTACGGATATTTCCTCTCACCTTTCAGGCTTCACTCCCCTCGCCCACAAAAATACTTTAAGCTACCTCCAGATATTCTTACCTCCATGTACACATGGGATGCGCCATGCTTACCTTTGACTATATAACTATGGACTGCTAGCAATGACTTTGGGCATCTATAAACATCTGCAGCGCCGCCAGCACCAAACACAGCCATTATTAGAACTATCATCGCACTTTTCATTCCTGTTTTACCATTAAAAAGATATTATTTGCGATCATGAATTTATAAGGAAAGGAAAATATAAAGAACACAAAATATGCTGTATATAATAAAAATTACATTAGTTATATAGTTTATGTTATGAAAATCTTTTTTATACAATAACAATTAGTATTTATATATAAATAAAAATAAAAATATATATGTTAAACATAGCATCACATAACATATATATGTTAAACATAACATAAATAAAAATAGAACTTTGTTATTAATGTAAAAAAAAACGTTACATTTTCCATATTTGTTAAGATATTACTGACCTTTGAATAAAATAAT